CTCCTTAGAGAGTTCACAGTCGGAGAGATCAGACTCCGGATCATCACTATCTACAAGCTTTTTATCCTTTTCAACGACAACCAATGATCCCATCCCAGAAACCATCTTCCCTTCTTTCGTCACTTCAGCTTCATGTGACTTTAATATTCCAACAAGCTTCGCTAACATGTAGTTCTTGAACTTTTCATGCTTTTTCACAGTAGAAACAACCATCTTCCACTCAGATCTCAACCCATTTATGAACATGACTTTTTGCTCAATTAGTTCACGTCCAATCTTGTGCTTCATCATCCTACTAAGAAGATGATTATAGCGATTGAAAGATTGATCCAAACTCTCTTCTGGATTTTGTATAAACGCTCCAAACTCATAAAGCAATAGAGTTTGAGTAAAATGCTCGAGACCGACATCTTTTGAGTACAGTTCCTTAAGCCTTTCCCAAGTGGATTTTGTAGTGTCATACGAACTAACCAAACAGAAAGTAACCGGTGGCAAGGGAAACCTAATTATCCTCATTGCTTTAACATGGCTTATCAACCTGTCCTTCACATCCAGTGATAAGTCTTTTACATCAAGAAGAAGTTTGTTATAGTCTTGTTGAGTTTTAATTTCTCTTCTTGTTCCTGTATGAGTGAACGTATGAACAATAATAGCTTCCTAAATCAAGTAGCCATTATCTTTAAGCCCGAGGATGTAGTCTTCAAAATGCAACGCCCACACTTCTTAACCGTTGGGAAAAAGAACGGGAATTCTGGTTGTAGATCCAACGTTACTTGAAAGATTTATTAGGTTAACTTGAGAATCATCTGTCATGTTTAGAGATTGAAAAAACCTGTATGAATAAGATGTGTAAACTAAATGGTTTTTGGGTGATATAAAGATCAAAGATCAGCGTTGATAACAACGATGACGGCTGAACAAAATCCTATAATATCGGAAACTCTAAAAACTCTTTCAACAGAAGGGGTGCGTGTAGATTACACAGTCTCCTGCTCTGATACCAATTGATGAGTCAAAAACTCTTAAGATCGATTAGATTCAAATGAATAATCAAACACAGAATATGAATCAAGAATGTGTCGAATGATTATTAATCACAACCTCAGAAGAGCTCGATAAGGGACTGCTACTGTAGAGGTGTGTAGGGTTTACCATGACACGAAGACCCAATAGATGCAATCACGAGTGGACAAGCCCAACTCGAATATATAAAAGACTAAATACAAAGGCCCAATAGATGCAACACTTAATACTTAACATTTATTATTCGGACTTCTCTTTTGGATGCTTCACATTTTCAGCAGGTTATTCTTTAAAGATTATTTGGTGCATTATCACTCGAGTTCGGAATATTGAATACGTTGTGTGATTCAACATTGTGCTCTTCGGTTCAACAGCCGAAGAGGGGGGGGGGGGAAATTGTGAACATGATTGGTTTTTGGGGACTGATCACATTCGAAGATTGGGATTTCATATTTTTATTCAAATATTATGTTCCTCTGTATATTACTCGATGATAGAAATTCAATTTCCAGATTTCGAGATCATGATTTCTTTAGCTTTTCCGAGATACTTTAGCACCAAACCTTCCCGTCGGATGTTCTGCTTTTTATCATTGCTTTACCCTCACCATTTTCGAGCATTTAGGGGGAGATTTTTGGAGCATAAAAATGCTCTACAATGATGAGTGTTTATTAGGTTAGAATATTCCCTTGTATGAAAATCATATTCCCGCCAGTAGTATATAAAGTTGAGGTGAGGGTCATTTATTTGTAAGAGTGTTCACTATGTAGACATTAGTTTAGAGAGAGTTTTGGGTGGGGATTCTCCCCATCCATGAGTATTGTTCTTGTAATATTTTGTATCTCTCTATCTATTTTACTCACATATTATGTTCTTCATTGTTCCTATGATTATCTTCTTGATATTATCTTTTTGCACCAATCCAATCGAGAAAATAGGAGCCTACAATACAATGAGCTCCTTGTCCAGCAACTTCCCGCCTTGAAGAAAAACCAGGCATTCCTGAGCACAAACATATGTTGGAAATTTTCTCTACACCTAGTTTTCACCAAATATTGAACCAAAATCTTGCATACCCAAACCACAGATACATAGTGACCTATTATGCTGAAACCATAAACTCAAACAGATTAATGATCCTCTAAGCATAATACCCATTTCTCCCCCACTTGGGTTCGAACTACCTTTAACTGGCATTACAAACAGACCAAATCTCAAACCGGCTCAACCAGATACATAGCATCCCATACCCTTGGAATGTATAACAAAGCGCAAGATGATATTATAGATAAAGACCAAGCAAACTCAAAGAGATTCAGAATCTCAAATGGAGACCTCGGAAACTCCCCCAATCATAACCGCCTCTAATATAAAGAATCCCATGCAGATGCACAAGAAATAATTCTGACAATCATTTATAACACTATTTCCTATCTATAAAAAAAATGGACTACCACACACCTTGCCTATAAATCCCCAATCTGAAGGTTCATATTGATCGGATACACTCAAGTATAAATAATAAAGAACAAACAAACAAAAAAAAGAGAAAACAAAAAACCAGAAGAACAATGATGATGACCAATATGTTTTCACTAAGAAAAGGTTCTCACAAAGAGAACAGTCGCACAAAGCGAGGCACCAAGCTCTATTAGGGTTTAACCCTAATAGTATACTATATACGATTATAGAAACATAAATCCAACTATTTTAGGGGTATAATATAATCTATGTAAAGTATGATCCTAATCACTAATATTATAGATAAGATATCTATTTTGTAATTACTGAGTATATCTACCTAATATACAAACTATCAGTCTAACATACAAAACCATCACTAAGATCATGAGGATCACGTTGTCGTTGATGAAACTTGCATTGGCATTCGTGTCGGTGGACAACGTGTTATGTGCTTGACTTATCAGATCATAAGGTGTGACCTTACAATGCCTCCTATTTGATGATGTCAAAACCAATCTTCAAATAAGTCATTAAAATCATTATTAGAGAACTTTTCAGTTTCTGTAAATATCTCAAGTTTCAACCACTTAAAGTCATCAAGATGAAGACCAGTCAAATGTTTACTAAGTTCAAGAGAGATAAGCACATGATAGCCCCGTTCTAGTTCTTTATGATGCATGCCCTCCAAAAAAATATTCAACAAATTCTCAGTGGGAGTAGCAGGAAGATCTTCAGTTCTTTGAAAAAACATTTGATTTGGACTAACAAGATATAAGATACCTTGTTCTGGTTCCTAAATGAACATGTGTTGAACTGGCTTAACACCGACTGACAAATTTTTGTGTATGTAGACAGTGCCATACGGAAGGAGGAACTTAGTAGGTGAATGGATGAGATGGATTAGCTGAAGGCACTAATTTCAAATTCTTGACTTTGTAACTAATTGTTGAATTGCCGATTTTATCTAATGAGCATGAACACCTTTATGTTTTGAAATTATCTCCTGAATCTGGATCTACTCATTGTAGCTATATTTAACAAACTCACAACCAAAAAAAAACTTCAGTGTATTCATACTCTGCCTTCTTCCAGACCAGATGAATTTTGAGTGATTCATCCTTGGGTTTGGAGCACCTGACCTTGATGATGAGATTAGGTTTATATGTTTGAGTTATAACATCTCCAAATTTCTTCCTCTCAATTCAATCATTCAGCTTAGAAACACTGTTTTGTTTGACAACATTGATATATGAAGCGCTGAATATTTGTCTTTTGAACATTAATCCTTTCATCAGCTGAGGCAAGGATTTGAACAAGTTTGATGGGTCGATGTTCATCTATTTTTTTTTAACTGAAGCATTATGCTTCAACATGATTTCTTTGACCTCATCAATGACCATTTTCTAGTTCTTAGCCAAAATTTCCAAATCAACCATTATTTTTCTTTTCTTGGAAGGAGGAGGGGCTGAAGAACTACTAATAGCTGAGGAACTTCTAGCTTAAACATCTTTTTCTCCCCTGAGAAGGAAGCCTTTCTTTTCTTGGATTGAGCTGATCATCATCAGACTCAATGTCACCGTGATTTCCTTGAGGACTTTACCCCTCATAAGATGCATAAGGATAAACAACACTTAGAGGTTTATCCGAAATAGCAATATGTGCCATGAAGTCCATATCAAGAAACCCTTCAAAATTATCATTATCAGTCTCAGACTGATTATTATCAACTTCTGGCTTAGGTTGATCATCACTCACTAGTTCATACTGAATAACAACCATTTCTCCTTCATTATCACCCCTTTCTAGTTCCGACAGTTCAGGCTAAAATATAATTGCAGTTATCATCACTAGTTCTTGATTCTCCCATTTTTAAGCATTACTAATTTGGGGAGAGGAATTATGATGTGGAGAGTGAGTGCAAGGATGGGGATTTGATGGTGGTGGTGGTGGTGGAGGAGGTTTTGATCATTTCCTGGAGAGCTAGGGGATGTGTCTTCAATCATCTCATCATCATTATCAAGCAAAGCCACTATACGTTTATCTTAGCCACATGACTCATAACTTTGACCAAATTTTCTCCAAGTGACTAAGTCCTTTGAACCAATAAGGAGAGCTAAGAGAGCACGGTCGTTTGGAAGTTGAAACTAGACTCCCCCCGAAAGCTAGTAGTAGTTTGTGAAAGACAATAACGTGTAGATCAATAGGTTCAATAATAGTAAAGTGAATTAAATAACAAGAATGATCGAAGTTCTTTTGAATGATTAATAATCAATGCCTTAGAATAGTTCGATGAAAACTTTTCTATAAAGACAAAGTAAGGCAATCACAAAGACGATTAACCCTAATACAATGCATGCATGCAATATATATAGCCTAACCCTAGCATCATAAAAGAGGATGGACATAACCGTTCCGTTTAATCATGGCTAATTACATACATATTAAAATTTGACACAACACAAAAAATGACCCAATAATCTCCCCCTTTGTGTCAAATAAAGAAAGGAGATCCTTCACTGTTGTTGACGTTTCTGAACTTTGAACAACTTGAACATTAGTCCAAGAAGAGTGTTCCGAACAACAATGTACCAATTCAAAATATCCAAGAAGCATTTCTTATCTGAATCTTCATTCTCTTTACAAGCCTCAGTAAGCTCCAAGATATAGTTCAGACACGAAGTGGAATACAAGTGCTTATCCAACAGAAAGAACGAACACTTCTGAACTTTTTTACCTTCACTTTTCTGAAACGCCACACTCCAATTATCCTTTCCAATTCTTCCTAACTTCATCTTGTCAAGATCCTTTGGTTCACTTTCTGATTTCAGAACATGCTTCTTTCTAAAAATGGCTGCTATCTCCACATCCATTTTGCCAAACTCCTGAATGTAGTAGACTAGCATTCTATTTAGATGAGCCAAGATCAGTTCATATTTTTGTTTATCCTTTGATAAAATAGAGAACAAGAAAATCCAATCATATGGATTTACGCAAGGCAAGTCAGCAAGTGTAAACTCAAATGCCGACTTTCTTGCTCCTCATAATGCGTTGAACCGAACGTTAATGAAGTCTTCAATTTCATCAGGTCTGAAGACCTTTACTGCAACTATATTCTTTGAACTCCATGTCTGGTATTGTGGCTATCCATAACCCCCCTCAGAAATTGCTCCCTAAGAGAATCGAACCCTCGTCGGTGGCTCTGATACAACTTGTTAAGACAATAACGTGTAGATCGATAGATTCAATAAAAGTAAAGTGAATCAAATAACAAGAAGAATGATTGAAGTTGTGTTGAATGATTAATAATCAATGCTTTAGAAGAGTTCGATGAGAAATTTTCTGTATAGAAAAAAGTAGGGCAATCACAAAGGCGATTAACCCTAATATAATACAAGCATGCAATATTTATAGCCCAACCCTAGCATCATAAAAGCGGATGATCAGGCCCATTCCGTTTAATCAAGACTAATTACATCCCAAAAATATTGAGTAAAAATTTCTTTTTTAAATAAGTCAAAAACCATTCATCAATTATTCCAAAAGACGACCAGAGTCAAGTATTATCAACACATCAAAGTAAAATCATAAACAACCAATGTAGAAATAAATCTCTAGGGGATGTTGTGCGATCAAGACAAGCCCTTACTTTTGAAAACAGAAGTACCTGATAACATTTAAATGTAAATTGTAAGCACAAAGCTTAGTGAGTTCCCTAAAATACCACGTACCACACATATTACCATAGGCTACACTCATGGTCTTTTCCCTGGAATGCCATGGGCTACCTTTATGGTCTTACAACTAAGTGTTATTGGCTACCCCAATGGTCTTTCCTTGAAATACCATGGGCTACCCTCATCTTCGAACATCCAAGTGTCATGGGCTACCCCATGGTCTTTCATGAAATTATCATTGGATACCCCATGGTCTTTCATACAAATGTTACGGGCTACCCCTGATGTCTTCCATGCACGTATCATAAAGACAACTACCATACTACACAATCCAGTAGGCCGACATTGGTGCCTTCGACCCACAAGTACAATGAGAAGACTCACCTTAATCGGTTAACGAATAGATCTCACATACGATCCGTTGGTGCTAAAGTCTCTCCCACTAAACATATCCAAAACCAAACCCTAATTAGTAAGTAAGGTAAATACCTTAACGTAGAAAGTCCAAATACCAATATAAATCCTAATTGGGAAAAAGACCATTTTTCCCTTCTAAGTCCTCAATCCCTCACAGTTAAACAAAAGTCAAATTAGTCAAAAAGTTACTGATGAACCTATCATTGACTTACATGCAGTATACATCTTACTCTAAGTGGGGAGTAGAGTCTTATCTAGAAAATAGGCTAGAATCAGGCTAGGCTAGGCGTAGCCTAGATTACGCCCTATGTACGACGCTCCTTGCCAAACTTCATTTTAAGCACTTAATACATAAAGTCATTTCACCCAAAGCTCATATATGTTTCCTAATAGCTCCATAATGGATAAAGTTTCCAACTTTATCCATTAGGTAGGTCAAAACAACCAAGATCCAGTCTTTAAGTCTTAGATGGACCAAAAATGCATCTTTCTTCATATAATCCATTAAGTCCAAGTCTCCAACCTTCAGATCTGAATCAATATGATGTTTAGATGGATAAAGTTTCCAACTTTATCCATAACAAGGGCACAAACTTCCAAGACCTAAACTTCATGCACTAAAATGACCTAAAAATGCTAACACAACTTGTGTGGCTTAATGAATAAGCACCGAAACACATCTTTCCAAGTCCAATAAGTCCCAAGAGTATTCCATATAGCTCAAAAGGTGATAGAGTTACCTCAACTCCTAAAACACAAGCTTAAGGGACCAAAAATCGACAAATACTACAATTAACAAGATATATGAAACCAATGAGCAAGTTTGAAGCTTTTTACTTAACCTTACTATGATTTAATGGAGAAATAAGCTCAAAAATGATTTCAAGGCTCAAAACAAGTGGGAGGAGGCTTGGTTTTCTTAAGGCATGAGCATAGGTGATGGAGGTTGGTCATAAGAGAGTTTCCTATAAGTTAAAGCCCTTAAATAGGGCTCAAAGTTGAAGAATTAGGGTTTTGATTAGCCACGATTATGCCCTGCGTAACCTAAGTTACGCCATGTGTAGCCCATTAGAAATATGATCCATACTTAGAAAACTATGTCATGCGTAACTTTCCTACACCATGCGTAACAGCTACACCCTGTCTAACTTTCCTACGCCATCCGTAGGACATAACCCCCAATTTCCACTTCATTTTCAAATAACCATAACTTCTTCATTTCAACTTTTTTTTCAACGTTCTTTATATGCACGAAAAGGTATTAAAAAGCCTCATGATTCTATATAATTATGTTTGACTTAAAACATATTGAACTAAAGTCCTTAATTCATGAAAGAAGTCTGCAACATCATTTTTCCCATTTTATCCTTTGACTCCAAAACACAAACCAAGGGATCGGATCTCATAACCAATAATATCAGCATCTAATAGGGTCTAAACCCTATCAACTTAAAGTCAAAATCCTTTACTTGATCCATTTATTGTCCACAATACAGAAATAAGAAATTTCTCGAAACAAGAGGTTATAGAAGCATATGACACTTTTAATCAACTTCTCTGTACAAATCGGATGAAGAATGGAACATCGGAGATACATAATCACCTCCAAACCCATCGAGAAAATCATGGACGATATGAATATCGAGTAGATTGTATACTAAAACAACCAAAATGAATATGCTATTAAGAAGTAGTGAGCGATAGGTATTAGAGATAGGGATCTAGACAACAGCTTGTAAGATAAAATGGAGTCTTTAGCGAAGGCGATGGACTACATTTTCCATTCATCTGTTGGAATCATTGGTAGAATAGGTGTCAGAAACACCAATACCTAAACAAAAATTAGACCAATATAGAGACAAAGGTTGTCATTTATTGATATGGAATGGTGTCGGTCGATTGGTTAGCAGCTTCTCCATTGATGATCTAGCGATTAATGAGTGTGGATTGGAAATCATTCTATTTTGAGGCTTCTGAAAGAAATCAGGATTAATATTGATCATTGGAGGAATGCACATCTATCGATGATAAGTCGATGTATGTTTGGTCGTCTATAGTGAAGAAGATGTAAGATTCGTATTATGGTTGCCTCTGTCTCGATCTCCCTTAAAATATTGATCTAGTGAAGATGATAATGTAAATACCGATGAAGACGTATTGCTCAGACACATGAAATATCAGTTGCACCATATCGATGATTTATGATCGACGATCATTGGATTAGTGAAAATCATGAGAAATGGGAAGAGAGAGAGAGAGAGAGAGAGACAGAGGGAGAGAGATTACAAATTTTATGTATCATATCCTAAATTAATTAGGATATCATATCATAATTTAATTAGAATATAATGTAATTATATATTTGTTTTTCCAGTAATATCCTTAGTTTTATTTAATTAAGATACCCCCACTTCTATAGCACTTTATTTATTTACAAAAATATCACAAAACGTATTGGTCAACCATTTTTGTTTTGATCTAAAGGTCTACCGTTAGTTCTGGGATTCTCATGAAACTATGAGTTCTCAAATGATCCTTCCTTTCCCTCCCCTCCCCCTGCTATCTCTCTCTCTTTATATATATATATATATATATATATATATATATATATATATATATATATATATATATATATATATATATATATATATATGGGTTTAGGTCATTTTTGGTTACTTAACTCTTTTTAAGTTTTAAAAGGTCATCAAACTTTTGACTTTGTGCTCATTTAGTTACTTAACTTTTGGTTTGGTCACTTAAATTTTAGATTTGTGCTCATTTAGTCACCTAACGTTTAAAATTATGCTCATTTAGTCACTAAACTTTTGAAAAAAATTAAAAGTTTAGCGACTAAATGAGCACAATTTTAAAAGATAGGTGACTAAATGCGACTAAACCAAAAGTCAAGTGACTAAATGAGCACAAAGCCAAAAGTTTGATGACCTTTTAAAACTTAAAAAGAGTTAAGTGACCATAAATGACCTAAACCATATATATATATATATATATATATATATATATATATATATATATATATATATATATATATATATATATATATGTGTGTGTGTGTGTGTGTGTGTGTGTGTGTTATTAAAGCATGGTTGATCGAAAGATATTTGAGACTTTAAGAGACCAAAATATCCCAATTGATGACTTTTTTTGTAAGGGTGACAAAAGTCTACATCATATGAAACAAAATTGAGAGAAATTTAAATTTTGAATTTTTGTTTCTGATACACACACAAAAACACACACACACACACACACACATATATATATATATATATATATATATATATATATATATATATATATATATATATAAATTAGAGAATGGGAGAATAATTATGAGCTAATTATTTATTTTTACTGTAAAAGCCTCTAAAGTACCAGTGAAAATGAGAACATAACTTGTTTCTTTATACTATGCTAGTCATTATCTTAATTTTTTTTTGTTTTCTAATTATTAAGGAGTTATTTTTATTGATAAAATGATTTTAAATATATCAAAATTCATAATTTTTTACTCTCTATAAATATACATTCATAATAATATAGTTTTAAGATAAAATAAAATAAAAAATATGTTTTTTTTTGTGGTTTGAGCTTTTGTTATTCATAAGTGAATAAAAATGCATTAGATTTTTATTGCAGTATATTCGTTATTCACTTATGAATAAAAAGTATGCTTAATTTTTTTATAGTTTAAGTCTTATTCATATATAAATATAACACACAATAAAGTTTTATTACCTAAAGTATTTTTTTATATCATC